CAGTCTGTGTTAGAAGGGATGGGGTAGAAGGGTGGGATGGGGAAATGAAGAGTGGGAAGAAGCAGCATCAGTGGTGTGCAGACACACAGAATGTGGAGCAGGAGGAAGAGACCTCTTTGGGGCACATTCCTGTGGAGGGATGGCATGTAAGGGTTCCTCACTCACCTCTGCTGCAGCTGCAGCTGGTGCTGGGTGGCGGCTGACAGGTGCTCAGCCTTTTTATCCTCTTGGATCAGCTCCCTGGGGGTCCAGTAGATGGTCAGTACCTGTTACTTCCTAATTGCGCCCTTCTACCACTGAATCTTTAACAGGGGCAGTCTCCTGGCTGAGAAAGTCACTCAGAAATCCTGTGATCAATCTTGATCTTAGTTTTGAAGACTGGCTGATTTCTTTGTAGTTTGTCTTCTACTGGGTGAAATATACCTCTTACTAACTGGTATTTCTATAATCTCTTGTGCTGTGTGATTGTGGTGGGGTTGCAAGCTTGGGGTCCTGTCCTTCCCTTTCTGACTTGCAGGGACCTGATCACTGGCTGGGGATCACAGCTGTGGTTGGAAAATATTCAACATTCTTTCACGATAAAAACTTTCAGCTAAGTAGATATAGAAAAGGATACAGTCAAATTGGTAAAGAGTACATGAAAAACCCACATCTAACATCATCCTTAATAGTGAAAGCCTATGTAAGTATTTCCTAAGATAAAAAGCAATATATCCACTGTCACATCTAGTTATCATTGTACAAAATCAAGGTGCTAGTCAGGACAATTTGGCAACAAGCAAAATCAAAATGCATCTATTTTGGAAAGGATTATTATCCTTTTTTTTTTTTTTTGAGACAGAGTCTTACTGTGTCACCCAGGCTGGAATGCAATGGCATGATCTCAGCTCACTGCAACCTCCCGGGTTCAAGCGATTCTTGTGCCTCAGCCTCCTGAGTAGCTGGGACTACAGGTGCACACCACCATGCCCAGCTAATTTTTGTATTTTTAGTAGAGATGAAGTTGGCCAGGCTGGTCTTGAACATCTGGCCTCAAGTGATACACCTGCCTCGGCCTCCTAAAGTTCTGGGCTTACAGGTGTGAGCCACTGTGCCTGGCCAGTATTATGTACACTTATTTTTATTTGCACTTGACCTGATCTTGTATTTAGAAAATCATAAGGAATTCACCACCTTAGAATAAAGTTCAGTATGGCAACAGGATACAAGATCAGTATACAAATTTAATTGTATTTCTTGACATAAAAAATGAACAATACATAAAAGAAACAATTTTAGTTGCAATAGTATCAAAAGCCAAATAAAAATAATTTTAACAAAAGAAATGAAAACTGGAACACTGAACATTACAATTCAAGGCTAGTGTTGTAAACACCTAACAGTCATCTCTGAGCCTCCTCCTCTTGGCTGTGACCACTTTACCTTCTTAGGGGAAGAAAAGTAATTGCACTTTTTTCCTTTATGTTCAAGGTGGACTTAACACTTCCAAATGTGTATTAGACTCTCCCTTTTTGTGGAAAGAACACTAAGACCCATCAAGAGAGATTTTAGCAATCCTTATCAAAGAGGACAAAATACAAAGCCTCTCAGCCTCAACCTAACCTGCACCAAAGTCAAGATCACATAAACCTGGATGACTCCACCTCAGCATTTTTCCTTCCTTCCTTTAGTTCCTTCCCTCCCTCCTTCCCTCCCTCCCTCCCTATCCCTCTTTTTTCTTTTTTTTTTTTTTTCAGCTAGGTTCGTACTCTGTTGTCCAGACTGGAGTATACTGGTGTGATCATAGCTCACTGCAGTCTCCAATTCCCGGGTTCAAGCGATTCTCCTACCTCAGCCTCCAGAGTAGCTAGGACTACAGGCAGGCACCATCATGCCTAATTGTTTGTGTGTTTGTTTTGTAGAGACAGAGTCACTATGTTGTTAGATTGGTCTCAAACTCCCAACCTCAAGGGATCCTCCCAACTTAGCCTCCCAAAGTACTGAAATTACAGGAGTAAGTCACCACACCCAGCCAGCATTTCCCTTTGAACAGGAAAAGTGGTGGTGGAAACTATGAGAAACTCGTGTGGAACTCCTTGTCTAAAGCAGGGAAGGAAAAGCAAAGTTCAAGTCTATCTCATAAAAGAACTAAGTAAACCTTGGGTGAAATGGGACCAATGGAATTTCAAAGTATGGGTAAAAATTTATCAGATACATGGAGTATGAACTGGCTCAAGAATTATGGGGTACGTTTACCCCCATGACTCTGCCTCTGCTATTTTATCCCATCATATACACTAGGGCAGTTTTTCCAACTAAGATAATCCATTGAAGACACCCAAATTAGTTTACTGGGTAAGAACAAACATCTTTTTAATGGATTCAAAGGCGGTTAACACATTAATTTCTGCTTCAATAAACTTGCAAAAATACAGACAATTCTTCATGCATTAGGGTGCACCTGTTATAAACAGACATCTGGTTTATATATATATATATATATATATAAAGTTTATATATTATATATATATATTATATATAAAGACATATACCTTTAATATATTAAAGTTAGTTGTTAATAGTAATATCAACCACTTGGTCTACATTCAAATCTCCTAATTTTTGCCATAATATCGCAAGTTATCCAGGATTTAATAAATAAACGAAATTCCACAGCACTGTCATATGGACAAAGAGAAGTCTTGATCCATCAGGTCCTGATCCACAGGGAGCAAGACAGACTCTCTGGTTCAATTCCACCATCTTTCCTTTGGAAGTTCAGAAATCTGTCCTCTCCCACTGCTTCTCTGCAGGTCTAGGGTTGGATTCTGTGTCCCTGAAGGTCGCTATGCATAGGTGGAAGAGGAGCCACTGGGGCTTCAGGGGAGCCTGGATATTGGAACAGGTGTGCCACCACTTGGTGGGAGTAGAAACACAGGTGGATCTCAGACAAGATGTGGCCTGATTAGCAGGTGCGAATCATAGACCAGGGCCAGGGCTGAGGAAAGGGTGATGCCATCGGTGCTATAATGACTGCTTTGCCAGAAGACAGTAACTTCTCTCAGAAACTTCCAAATTACTAGGGTGGGCTGTAGTGTAAAGCAAACAAATCACACATGTGCTTTAAATACCTGATCTCTCAAGCACAAAGGGGAATTTCTTGGGAGTGGAGGTGGAAAGATCTCTACACTATTTAATTCCTCCTTTCTTAAATCAGTGACGAGGTCCAAACTAACGGCTCCCTGGTCACTCTGGGGGTCAGCTGAACTTCAGTCCTACAAAGCATAATAAATCAGGAAGGACCATCAAGACTATTGTTGTGAAGCCTGTAAATAACATTCATCACTTCTATCCATATTATCCTACACAACTCTGTTTTACATGGTCCCAACCATGTAAATGCTCAGAAATGTACACAAAGTCTGTGTCCTAGATAAAAGGGAATGCTTTTTGAAGAACAATATCTGATTTCTTTCCTCTGTGACTTCTCTAATGTCTGCTAAGCTGTGACTTCAAGCAAACGGTTTTTTCTATATTTATTACACAGGGTTTTCTCTATGTGAGTTCTGTGTGTCCAGTGATGACTGACCTTAGGCAAAATATTTTCCCACGTTCATTACTTTCATAGGTTTTACTATCCTATGTGAGATCTCTGATGTTGGCTGAGCTTTGACTTCCAGCCAAAGGATTTTCCACACTCATTACATTCATAGGGTTTTTCCCCAGTGTGAATTATTTCACATCAAGTGAGGTGTGACTTCTGGTAGAAGCTTTTACCCCATACCTTACATCCATAGGTTTTCTGCCCTCTGTGAATACTCTGATGTGACCTAAGGCTTGACTTCCAGCCAAAGGGTTTTCCACATTGATTACATTCATAAGGCTTTTCCCCCGTGTGACTTCTCTGATGGCTAGTGAGGATTCCTTTCTCATAGAAGGTTTTCCCGCATTCGTTACATTCATAGGGTTTCTTGCCTGTATGAAAACCCTGATGCACTCTGAGGTATGACTTGCGATGAAACGTTTATCCACGTTTGTTACATTCATAGGGTTTTTTCCCTGTGTGAGTTCTCTGAGGTACATTGAGATTTGCCTTCTCATAGAAAGTTTTCCTACATTCTTTACATTCATACGGTTGTTCACCTCTGTGAGTTCTTTGAGGTACCAGGAGGGTTGACTTCCGGCAGAATCTTTTCCTACATTATTTACATTCAAATGGCTTCTCACCTGTGTGAGTTCTTTGATGGATAGTGAGGGTTGACTTATGGTAGAAGGTCAACCCACATCCATTACATTCATAGGGTTTTTCCCCTGTGTGAGTTCTCTGATGCACCCTGAGTGCTGACTGCTGCCAAAACGTTTTTCCACATTCATTATATTCACAGGATTTTCCCTGTGTGTGGATTTGCTGATAAACGCTTGGATTTGATCTGACAGAAGAATTTCTCACATATGGCACACGCATAGGGTTTCTCTTCTGTATGTGTTCTCTGATGTTTTGTAAGACAGGATTTGATAATGAAGGCTTTCTCACATTCACTATATTTATAAGGTTTCTTTCCTGAGTGTATTTTCTGATGTTCAGTGAGTTTATGCTTCTTACAGAATATTTTCTCACATACATGACGTTCAAAAGTTTTCCTCCCTACCTGAGTTAGCTCTTGAGCAATAGGAGCTGACTCATTACAGGCTTTCCCACATTTATTACATTTACAAAAGGTCTCTCCCATAGAAACACTCTTATGTGTTAATATAGCCTCCACGTTGAAGGCATTCCTCAGTCGACTGTATTCAAAACACTGTAGTCCAATTTGAATCTTGTGATCCTAAGATGCTCATGACCTCCGAGAAATGTTCCAGTTAAATCATAAGCATCAGGTCTCACTCCAGCTTGCATTTCATCAGAATCACCAGAAAGAAGCATGTTCTGAAATACATTCAACTCCTCAGATCTCATTCCTGAATAGTTTCCATTATTTCTAATCAGTTCTGGTACATGGTTTGAAGTCAAACTACATGTTTTTCCTGATTCCACTCCCTTCTCAACTGATGATTTGCTTTTCGTAATTACAACTTGCCACAAATGTCTACTGTGACTTTCTTGGCTCCTCTCAATTATGTCATCAACTATGTGGACAGCTGAAATAAGTAAAAAAAAAAATCGTACATATGAACCACACATAAGTATTTCCTATGAGATGCTCATTTAAAGGTAAATAACTTTCTTTCTTTTTTTTTTTTTTTGAGACAGCATCTCACTCTGTCACCCAGGTTGGAGTGTAATGGCGTGATCTCAGCTCACTGCAACCTTCGCCTCCCACGTTCAAGCGTTTCTCCTGCCTCAGCCTACTGAGTAGCTGGAACTACTACAGGCACCCGCCACCACACCCAGCTAATTTTTATATTTTTAGTAGAGACGGGGTTTCACCATGTTGGCCAGGATAGTCTCGATCTCTTGACCTTGTGATCCGCCTGCCTCAGCCTCCCAAAGTGCTGGGATTACAGGCGTGAGCCACCGTGCCCAGCTAAGGTAAATAACTTTCTATCCTAGTGCCATAAGATTTTATAAAAATCAATGGGTACTGTTTTTATAAGTATGTCGATTCTTTTCCTATTGAGTTAATTACACTAATAGATTATCTAACGCTAAATTGTTTTTCTTGCTTTTTAAAAAATAAAATTAAAAAAAAAAAAAAAGACAGAGAGAGAGATAGGGTCTTGCTGTGTTGCCGAAACTGGAGTGCAGTGGTGAGATCATAATTCACTACAACCTCAATCTCCTGGGCTCAAGCAATCCTCACACCTTAGCCTCCCAAATAGATGCGCCTACAGGCATACACTATGACACTTGGTTTTTGGTGCTGGATTTTTTGTAGAGATGGGGTCTTGCTATCTTACTAGGCTGATCTCAAACTCCTGGCCTCAAATGATCTTTCTGACTCCATCCCCTAAAGTGCTGGGATTACAGTCATGAGCCACTGAGCCTGGCCTTTTAAATTCATGTAGAAATATTTAGTAAAAAAAATTCACTTAGTGTCTTGTATTTTTCAACTAAGCGCTTTTGACCTGCCATTTGCATTACCTATTCATTTTACCTATTTTGTTCTTATAACACTGGACCTCTCATGCTGGTATTTTTCTCATTCTTCTGCTTTAAAGATGAGAAGGTTTTCCTAGATCAGCAACTTGTAGGTGCAGGAGAGGATTATTTGCCTCACAACTAAGCAGGTAAAATGTGATACCCAGAAATCCCTTCTTCTCCTCCCAACTTCAGGACCACCCGCTTTGCATACCCTTATACTGGGTCCTCCTCAGTTTCATGATTTCTGATGCTGTATACACAATTCTAAGTGCTGTACTTCTCAGATTCTTATCAATTCCCTAGGTGACCTCCTTCATAAGTGTGGCTTTAAATACCAGCTTTAACCTCCTGAGACTCAAATTTGTATCTCCAATAGTGATGTCCATTCTCTAAAATTATATATCTACCTACATATTACACGTTAAATTTGGAAAACAGCTTCTCAAATATAAGCTATCCCAAAGTGAAGTGTACTCAGCATTTTATGTCAAAGGACTCAGATTTTTATTTGGAAGTGAAGTTCAAAGTTAACATTTTTTTTTTAAATCTCTTCATGAAAGCACTTCAAAAACACCAGACTGCTGTGCTTCTTGCTTAGCTGAGAGACAAATAACTCTCTCCTGCACCTACAAGTAGCCAATCTAGGAAAACCTTCCCTTAAAGCAGAAGAATGAGAAAAATACCAGCATGAGAGGTCCAGCACAGCAGTCTGAAGTAGACCTGGGACACTTGAGCTTGAGCTTGATGTGAGGAGGGGCATCCACCATTACTGAGGCTTGAATAGTGGTTTTCCCCTAACAGTGTAAACAAAGCCTTTGGGAAGTTCAAACTGGGTGGAGCCCACCACAGCACCACAAAGCTGCTGTAGCCAGACTGCCTCTCTAGATTCCTCCTCTCTGGGCAGGACATCTCTGAAAAAAAGGCAGCAGCCCCAGTCAGGGGTTTATAGATAAAACTCCCATCTCCCTGGGACAGAGCACCTGGGGGAAGGGGCAGCTGTGGCACAACTTTAGCAGACTTAAACGTTCCTGCCTGCCAGCTCTGAAGAGACCAGCAGATCTCCTAGCACAGTGCTCGAGCTCTGCTAAGGGAGAGACTGCCTCCAAGAGTGGGTCCCTGAACCCCGTGCCTCCTGATGGGGAGACACCTCCCAGCAGGGGTTGACAGACACCTCATACAGAAGAGCTCCAGCTGGCATCTGGCAGGTGCCTCTCTGGGACAAAGCTTCCAGAGGAAGGAGCAGGCAGCAATCTTTGCTGTTGTGCAGCCTCTGCTGGTGATACACAGGCAGAAAGGGTTTGGAGGGGACCCCCAGCAAACTCCAGCAGACCTACAGCAAAGGGGCCTGACTGTTAGAAGAAAAACTAACAAAAAGAAAGCAACAGCATCAACATCAACAAAAAGAACAAACATGCAAAAACTCCACCTGAAGGTCACCAACAGCAAAGACCAAAGGTAAATAAATCCACAAAGATGAGGAAAAACCAGCACTGAAAATTCCAAAACCAGAATGGCTCTTCTCGTCCAAAGCATCACAGCTCACCAGCAAGGGAACAAAACTGGATGGACAATGAGTTTGACGAATTGACAGAAGTAGGCTTCCGAAGGTTGGTAATAACAAACTCCTAAAGGAGCTATTCTAACCCAATGCAAGTGAGCTAAGAACCTTGAAAAAAGGTTAGAGGGATTGCTAACTAGAATAACCAGTTTAGAGAAGAATATAGATGATCTAATGGAGCTGAAAAGCACAGCATGAGAACTTTGTGAAGCATACACAAGTATCAATAGCCGAATCAATGAAGCAGAAGAAAGAATATCAGAGATTGAGGATCAACTTAATAAAATAAAGTGTGAAGACAAAATTAGAGAAAAAAGAAGGAAAAGAAATGAATAAAACCTCCAAGAAATATGGGACTATGTGAAATGGCCAAACCTATGTTTGACTGGTGTACCTGAAAGGGACGCAGAGAATGAAACCAAGTTGGAAAACACACTTCAAGATATTATCCAGGAGAACTTCCCCAACCAACCAAGACAGGCCAACATTCAATTTCAGGAAATACAGAGACCACAAAGATACTCCTTGAGAAGAACAACCCCTACACACATAATCATCAGATTCACCAAGGTTGAAATGAAGGAAAAAATGTTAAGGGCAGGCAGAGACAAAGGTCAGGTTACCCACAAAGGGAAGCCCATCAGACTAACAGTGGAGCTCTCTGCAGAAAGCCTACAAGCCAGAAGACAGTGGAAGCCAATACTCAACATTCTTAAGGAAAAGAATTTTCAACCCAGAATTTAATATCCAGCCAAACTAAGCTTCACAAGTGAAGGAGAAATAAAATCCTTTACAGACAAGCAAATGCTAAGGGATTCTGTCACCACTGGGTCTGCCTTACAAGAGCTCCTGAAGGAAGCACTAAATATAAAAACGAAAAACTGGTACCAGCCACTGCAAAAACAAACCAAAATGTAAACACCATCGACACTATGAAGAAACTGCATCAACTAATGGGCAAAATAACCAGCTAGCATCATAATGACAGGATCAAATTCACACATAACAATGTTAACCTTAAATGTAAATGGGCTAAATGCACCAATTAAAAGGCACAGACTGGCAAATTGGATAAAGAGTCAAGATCCATCAGTGTGCTGTATTCAGGAGACCCATCTCTGTGCAAAGGCACTCATAGGCTCAAAATAAAAGAATGAAGGAAAATTTACCAAGCAAATGAAAAGCAAAAAAAGTAGGGGTTACAATACTAGTCTCTGATAAAACAGACTTTAAACCAACAAAAATCAAAAAAGACAAAGGAAATTACATCAATGGTAAAGGGACCAATGCAATAAGAAAAGCTAACTATCCTAAATATATATGCCCCCAATAAAGGAGCACCCAGATTCATAAAGCAAGTTCTTAGAGACCCACAAAGAGATTTAGACTCCCACACAAAAACAGTGGGAGATTTTAATACCCCACTGTCAATATTAGACAGATCAATGAGACAGAAAATTAACAAGGATATTCAGGACTTGAACTCAGCTCTGGACCAAAAGAACTTAATAGACATCTACAGAACTCTCCACCCCAAATCAAAAGAATATATATTCTTCTCGGCACCACACAGCACTTATTCTAAAATCAACCACATAAGTAAAACGCTCCTCAGCAAATGCAAAATAATGGAAATCATAACAAACAGTCTCTCAGACCACAGTGCAATCAAATTAGAACTCAGGATTAAGAAACTCACTCAAAACCACACAACTACATGGAAACTGAACAACCTACTCCTGAATGACTACTGGGTAAATAAAGAAATTAAGGCAGAAATAAATAAGTTATTAGAAAACAATGAGAACAAAGACACAACATACCAGAATCTCTGGGACACAGCTAATGCAGTGTTTAGAGAGAAATTTATACCACTAAATGACCACAGGAGAAAGCAGGAAAGATCTGAAATTGAAACCCTAACATCACAATTAAAAGAACTAGAGAAGCAAGGGCAAACAAATTCAAAAGCTAGCAGAAAACTGAAATCACTAATATCAGAGCAAAATTGAAGGAGATAGAGACACAAAAAAAAACCTTAAAAAAAAAATCAATGAATCCAGGAGCTGGGTTTTGAAAAGATTAACAAAATAGACTGCTAGTCACACTAATAAAGAAGAAAAGAGAGAAGAATCAAATAGACACAATAAAAAATGATAAAAAGGAGATCACCACTGATCCCACAGAAATACAAACCATCAGAGAATACTATGAACACCTCCATGCAAATAAACTAGAAAATCTAGAAAACGGATTAATTCCTAGACACAAACACCCTCCCAAGACTAAACCAGGAAGAAGTCAAATCCCTGAATAGACCAATAATAAGTTCTGAAATTGAGGCAGTAATTTATAGCCTACCACCCAAAAAAAGCCCAGGACCAGATGGATTCACAGCTGAATTCTACCAAGAGGAGCTGGTACTATTACTTCTGAAACTGTTCCAAACAATAGAAAAAGAGGGACTCCTCCCAAACTCATTTTATGAGGCCAGCATCATCCTGATACCAAAACCTGGCAGAGACACAACAACAACAAAAAAGAAACTTTCAAGCCAATATCCCTGATGAACATCGGTGTGAATATCCTCAATAAAATACTGGCAAACCAAATCTAGCAGCACATCAAAAAGCTTATCCACCACGATCAAGTCAGGTTCATCCACGGGATGCAAGGCTGGTTCAACATATGCAAATCAATAAACATAATCCATCACATAAACAGAACCAACGACAAAAATCACATGACTATCTCAACAGATACAGAAAAAGCCTTTGATAAAATTCAACACTCCTTCATGCTAAAAACACTCAATAAACTAGGTATTGATGAAACACATCTCAAAATAATAAGAGCTATTTATGACAAACCCACAGCCAATATCACACTGAATGGCTAAAAGCTGGAAGCATTCCCTTTGAAAATCGGCACAAGACAAAGGTGGCCTCTCTCACCACTCCTATTCAACAAAGTATTGGAAGTTCTCCCCAGGGCAATCAGGAAAGAGAAAGAAAGTGTATTCAAACAGGAAGAGAGGAAGTCAAATTATCTCTATTTGCAGATGACATGACTGTATATTTAGAAAACCCCATCATCTCAGCCCAAAAACTCCTTAAGCCCAAAACTCCTTAAGCAACTTCAGCAAAGTCTCAGGATGCAAAATCAATGTGCAAAAATCACAAACATTCCTATACACCAAAAATAGAGAGTCAAATCAAGAGCAAATTCCCATTCACAACCGCTACAAAAAGAATAAAATACCTAGGAATACAACTTACAAGGGATATGAAGGACCTCTTCAAGGAGAACTACTAACCACTGCTCAAGGAAATAAGAGAGGACACAAACAAATGGAAAAACATTCCATGCTCATGGATAGGAAGAATCAATATTGTGAAAATAGCCATAGTGCCCAAAGTAATTTATAAATTCAATGCTATTCCCATTAAGCTATCATTGACTTTCTTCACAGAATTAGAAAAAACTACTTTAAATATCATATGAAACCAGGAAAGAGCCCCTAGAGCCAAGACAAAGGTCTTAAGCAAAAAGAACAAAGCCGGAGGCATCACACGACCTGACTTCAAACTATACTACAAGGCTACAGTAACCAAAACAGTATGGTACTGGTACCAAAACAGATATATAGACCAATGGAACAGAACACAATCCTCAGAAATAACACCACACATCTGCAATGATCTGATCTTTCACAAACCTGACAAAAACAAGCAATGAGGAAAGGATTCCCTATTTAATAAATGGTATTGGGAAAACTGGCTAGCCATATGCAGAAAACTGCAACTGGACCCCTTCCTTAAACCTTATACAAAAATTAACTCAAGATGGATTAAAGATTTAAATGTAAGACCTAAAACCATAAAAACCCTAGAATAAAACCTACGGAATACCATTCAGGACACAGGCATGAGCAAAGACTTCATGACTAAAACACCAAAAGCAATGGCAACAAAAGCCAAAATTGACAAATGGGATCTAATTAAACTAAAGAGCTTCTTCACAGCAAACCAAACTATCATCAGAGTGAACAGGCAACCCACAGAATGGGAGAAAATTTTTCCAATCTATCCATCTGACAAAGGGCTAATATCCAGAACTTAAAACAAATTTATAAGAACTTAAGACAAATTTACAAGAAAAAAACAAAAAACCCCATCAAAAAGTGGGCAAAGGATATGAACAGACACTTTTCAAAAGAAGATATTTGTGCAGTCAACAAACATATGAAAAAAAGCTTATCATCATTGGTCATTAAAGAAATGTAAATCAAAACCACAATGAGATACCATCTCACGCCAGTTAGAATGGTGATCATTAAAAAGTCAGGAAACAACAGATGCTGGAGAGGATGTGGAGAAATAGAAATGCTTTTACACTGTTGGTGACAGTATAAATTAGTTCAACCATTGTGGAAGACCATGTGGTGATTCCTCAAGGATCTAGAACTAGAAGTACCATTTGACTCAGCAATCCCATTACTGGGTATAATACCCAAAGGATTATAAAGCATTCTACTATAAAGACACATGCACATGTATGTTTATTGTGGCACTATTCACAATGGCAAAGACTTGGAACCAACCCAAATGTCCATCAGTGTTAGACTGGATCAAGAAAATGTGGCACATATACACCATGGAAAACTATGCAGCCATAAAAATGAGTTCATGTTCTTTGTAGGGACATGGATGAAGCTGGAAACCATCATTCTCAGCAAAGTAACACAGAAACAGAAAACCAAACACTGCATGTTTCTCACTCATAAGTGGGAGTTGAACAATGAGAACATATGGGCACAGGGAGGGGAACATCACACACCGGAGCCTGTCAGGGGGTGGGGGCCAAGGGGAGGGATAGCATTAGGAGATATACCTAATATAGATGACGGGTTGATGGGTGCAGTAAACTACCATGGCACATGTATACCTATGTAACAAAGCTGCACGTTCTGCACATGGAATCCCAGAACTTAAAAGTATTTTTTAAAAAAAAAAAATTATCCAAAAAAGAAAGAAATTCACCCAGGCATGGTGGCAGGCATCTGTAATCCCAGCTACTCAGGAGGCTGAGGCAGGAGAATTGTTTGAGTACAGGAGGTGGGGGTTGTAGTGAGCCGAGATTGTGTCACTGCACTCCAGCCTGGGTGACAGAGCAAGGCCCTGTCTGGAAAAAAAAAAAAAAAACTTTAAAAAGTCAACATCTGCTGGGTTTTGCTCTTCTCCATCTCCCTGCACTATATGTTATCACTAACTTGGAAGGCTCTGGTGTCCTCTACCATCCAAGGTTCTCCTTGCTCCAGCTTGAAGATCACCTCAGGTTTGGTAATGTGGTACCCTGTTAATAAAAAATGTGAGACTAGGCCAGGCGCAGTGGCTCATGCCTATAATCCCAGCACTTTGGGAGGCCCAGGCGGGCAGATCACAAGGTCAGGAAATTGAGACCATTTTGGCTGACACAGTGAAACCCTGTCTCTACTAAAAATACAAAAAATTAGCCAGGCGTGGTGGCGGGCACCTGTAGTCCCAGCTACTCGGTAGGCTGAGGTAGGAGAATGGCGTGAACCTGGGAACTGTGAAATCAGGTCCTTTGAAGAATGACAACAGCTTGGATTCAGGAGCCGTGCAGTGAAGGGGCCAGTTTGAACCTTTCATTAGAGGGGGCTGACACGTTACTCATGGACTGGAATATTATAACTAAATAACATTTTTTTTTTTTTTTTTTTTTTGAGACGGAGTCTGGCTCTGTCACCCAGGCTGGAGTGCAGTGGCGCGATCTCGGCTCACTGCAAGCTCCGCCTCCCGGGTTTACGCCATTCTCCTGCCTCAGCCGCCGGAGTAGCTGGGACTACAGGCGCCCGCCACCTCGCCCGGCTAGTTTTTTGTATTTTTTAGTAGAGACGGGGTTTCACCGTGTTAGCCAGGATGGTCTCGATCTCCTGACCTCGTGATCCGCCCGTCTCGGCCTCCCAAAGTGCTGGGATTACAGGCTTGAGCCACCGCGCCCGGCCAACTAAATAACATTAAACTGTATACGTGTCCATATACTTACTAGCAGAGAAGAAAGCACTTGCTCCTGGGAGTTACTGTGATATTCACTCACCCAAGGACACCAAGCTGCTGTAGGTCTCCAGCATCATGTCCCTGTACAGAGTCCTTTGAGCATCATCCAAGTCCTGCCACTCTTTCCAGGTGAAGCCCACAGCCACATCCTCAAAGGACACCAACTCCTGTAATGGCATATTTCTCCTCAAGTCACCAGCCCTGGGTCACAAGAACAAGAATCATGGAGATCACTCTTCTCTGTGTGTCTCATATATATGTCATATAAGATGTAGCTTGCTTTGTAGTCTATATGGTGTGAGAAAGAAAAATCATGGTAGAAATAGCCTCGAGTGTAATCATTTAATTACAGCTGACTCTTGAACAACACGGATTTGAACTACATGGGTCCACACACATGCAGATTTTCTTCTGTCTCTGCCACCCCAGAGTCAGAAAAACCAGTATCTCCAATGAACATATGTTCTCTCATAATTTTCTTGATAACACTTTCTTTCCTCTAGATTATTTTAAGAATACATGGCATACTTATCCTCACATCACTGTTGCATCATGAGAACACAAAGTCTTGGTGTTGTTCACTCGTGTGTGTGCATGTGTCTTACATGAGATATAGCCTGCTTTTTACTCTATGATGGGAAAAAGAAAACTGACAGTAGAAGCATACTGCTACTAATTTATTAATTATGAAAAGTTCTACTAAACACTTTCCCTTACAGATCTGGAATTGTCCCTGCTGCCAGGGATAAAGTCAAGATAAAAATTCTGCTCCTCCTGCCAGGCACGGTGGCTCACGCCTATAATCCCAGCACTTTGGAAGGCTGAGGCAGGCAGATCACGAGGTCAGGAGATCAAGACCATCCTGGCTAACACAGTGAAACCCCATCTCTACCAAAAATATAAAAAAATTAGCTGGGCATGGTGGTGGGCACCTGTAGTCCCAGCTACTTAGGAGGCTGAGGCAGCAGAATGGTGTGAACCTGGAGTTGGAGCTTCAGTGAGCCAAGATTGCGCCACTGCACTCCAGCCTGGGTGACAGAGCGAGACTCCCTCTCAAAAAATAATAATAATAATAATAATTCTGCTCCTCCAAGGTGCTTAAGATCTGTTACAAAGACATATGTATAGGGCTAGGCACAGTGGCTCATGCCTATAATCCCAGCACTTTAGGAGGCCAAGGTAGGTGCATCACAAGGTCAAGAGATTGAGACAATCCTGGCCAACTTAGTGAAACCCTGTCTCTACTAAAAATACAAAAATTAGCCGAGCCTAGTGGCAGGCACCTGTAATCCCAGCTACTCAGGAGGCTGAGGCAGGAGAATCACTGGAACCCGGGAGGTAAAGGTCGCAGTGAGCCGAGATCACGCCACTGCACTCCAGCCTGGTGACAGAGCGAGACTCCATCTCAAAAAAAAAAAAAAGAAAAAGAAAAAAAAAGTCGTAAGTATAAATGGAACTACAAAGAGTACCATGCCTGAGTGAGTGTTTCTCAGCTGTGATGAGAGACAAAGGTATGCAAGGCATGATTATCAGGTGATTCTGCATTTCAATACTTGACCTAATTCCAACAAAAGAAACTTCATGTGCTCACTGATTTTAAAAAATTACTTATAAAGTATTTTTTATGTTCACAGGCATCCTTATGTTTCCCTACTACATTAAAAAAAACCCAAAAACTGCTCAGTGTTCACATAAAAGTAATCACCCACTTCCTAAAACACAGGATACAAGTAATAAAGGTAAATAAAATGTGGTAAGGTACTTGCTCAGATTTGCATTTCCACAGTCATTCCCTGCCAGGAGATAGGGCAAGGACTAAAGAGAGAGTCAGAGGGGAAGAAACCAGGGTGAGACATGGCCATCTATACCAGGATACAGGCCAATAAAAGTACAGAATAGGAAACTAATCTTGAAAAAAAGAAAACAAAAGCAAAAGCAAACGGTGAATTCTGACCTAATTTGTTGTGCTGAGGGTGAAAAGTGGAGTTCAATTCCATGCTGTCTCATGACCAGCTAGGTAGATACTGATGTTGTAAACTGAAATTGAGAAAAGAACAAAGAACTTGATAAGGAAAAGCAAAAATAATCTTGGATACACAATCTGAAGTTTCTGCAGTCAGATATGTGGGGATGTTCATCTGGAAACGATTCACGATCTAGAGCTCAGGAGAGAGATCTAAGCTCAAGGTAAAGATTTGAAAAGCAACAGCATTTCAGTGGTAGCTGAAGCCAGCAGCTTGAATAAAATAGCTCAAAGAGAACCTAAGAGATTGAAAGGACAAAAAGAGCAAGTACAGAATCTGAGGAAACACTGATATTTATCAACAGAGGAAGAGAAATAGACCATGAGAACTGAGAAGAAATAAAATCTATAAATATATTTCATAATATTCACAGGTTTATGAAAAAAAGTCCTATGATCACACAGACATCGAGAAGATATATTTAAATATATCATCCCATTTGTAATAAAAAGTCAATAAAAAAGGACACATGACATTCTTTAACATGTTAAAATGGACATATCTTGACCCAAAGAGCAGCTTCATAGTTAATGAGGAAATACTGGAAGACACATATGCTCCATCTCTACAAATATTTACCATTGTACAAGAGGTAATGTTCAACTCAAATGAAGAGAAACAAAAATGAGAAAGACTATGATTTGCATATAATTTAAACCTAGAAAACCCAAGAGAATCTTCCGAAAACTATTCCAAATCAGAAAGCTCACTATGCTGGGTGCAGTGGCTCACCCCTGTAATCCCAGCACTTTGGGAGGTCAAGGCAGGCAAATCACCTGAGGTCGGAGGTTTGCGATCAGCCTGACCAACATGGAAAACCCCTGTCTCTACTAAACAAAAATTAACCGGGCATGGTGGCACATGCCTGTAATCCCAGCTACTAGGGAGGCTGAGGCAGGAGAATTGCTTGAACCCAGGAGGCGGAGGTTGCGGTGAGCTGAGATCACACCATTGCACTCCAGTCTAGGAAACAAGAGTGAAAGGTCATCTCAATAAAATAAAAAAAAAGAAAGAAAGAAAGCTCAATGTATAAACAGACTACAAAAGTCTTCATACATGTAATAACATTCAAACTACAACCACTACTACCTAGCAGTACATTTAACAAAATTAGTATAGAACTAAATGATGGCAGGGGGAAAAGTGAGGGATACAAAAGCTAATTAAGCAAGTAAAAAGATATATTATGTTTATGAACAGGAAGAGTCTACATCATAAAGATGCCAATTCTCCCTAAGTCAGTGAAGTGCTTTAATATCATCCTATGAAAGCAACACACTCTCAGATATTGATAAGCCAGAAGAACACTTATGTGGAAAATTAAACAAGAATAGACAGTGTATGGTAGGTTATATTTCTGTTCACCTAAAACCTGGTCCTTCCTCCCTGTATTAGTCAGCTGTGTCTGCCATAACACATTCCACAGACTGGGTGACTTCACAGAAATTTTTTTTTTTTTTTTGAGACGGAGTCTCACTCTGTTGCCCAGGCTGGAGTGCAGTGGCCGGATCTCAGCTCACTGCAAGCTCTGCCTCCCGGGTTTACGCCATTCTCCTGCCTCAGCCTCCTGAGTAGCTGGGACTACAGGCACCCACCACCTTGCCTGGCTAGTTTTTTTTTTTTTTTTGTATTTTTCAGTAGAGACAGGGTTTCACCGTGTTAGCCAGGATGGTCTCGATCTCCTGACCTCATGATCTGCTGGTCTCAGCCTCCCAAAGTGCTGGGATTACAGGTTTGAGCCACCGCGCCCGGCCTTAACAGAAATTTTGTTGCTCACAATTCTGGAGGCTGAAAAGTCCAAGATCAACGTGCCAGGCAAATCACTTCCTAATGAGGTCTCTCCTCCTGGTTTACAGATGACATAGCCTTCTTGATGTGTCCTCACATAGCAGAGATAGATAGATCTCTCTCTTCCTCTTCTTATAAGACCATCAATCCTACTGGCTTAAAGGTCTCAACTCTTATGACCTCACAAGAGGTCACATGGGTGCCCTCCTAAATGGTACCTTCATAAAAGGGCAGACACACTGGTAGTCAACATAACCAACATGTAGACATGTAGTCAGCAAGTCTACATAACCAAACCATAATAAAAACTTTGAACACAGACTCAAATGAGATCCTTGTGTTGTCAATGTCTTGTGGGTGCTGATATGTATTGTTGGCAGAAACAGACAATGACCAAGAGGTTCCACTAAGAGCAAACAATTGAAATTTGTGCCAAGTGGTTCATAGATCCTGCCCTATGCACCCTGTTCCTTGGTTAATTTTAGTTGATCTTTTCATAGTAATAAATCATAACTATGAGTACAAAGCCTTTTACCGAACCTGTGGGTTTTCTTGGGGACCCCCAAATTTGCAGCTGTTATCAGAAGAATCATAGCCTTGGGGACATCTAAACCTCTTACAGAAAAGAACAATGTAGAGATAAGCATACCAAGGGTGTACAATGATAAAATTGTCACACACACACAAAAAGATAACAGAAATCTGGGTGAATACAAATAAAGAAAACAATGGAAATGGTAGATATTTGAGTAAACATATACATTGATCTTATTTCTGACCTCGTTAAAAAGTCACCGACCCTTTGAAGCAAGAAAATAATGTATTGTGGAGTTTATAACATGTAGGAGTAAAAAGTATGATAAGCATGGAAGCTGGGAAGAGCTAAAGGGAAGCATCTTATAAAGTTTGTATAGTATATATGAAATGGCATAATACTACTTGAAGGTAGCCTATAAGTCAAATATGAATATGATGAACCATAAAACAACCATCAGGCCAGGTGCAGTGGCTCATGCCTGTAATCCCAGCACTTTAGTAGGCCAAGGAGGGAGGATCACTTGAGGCCAGGAGTTGGAGACAAGCCTGAGCAACATAGTGAGATCCTGTCTCCACATAAAAATTTAAAAATAGAAACAAACAAAAAAAAATTCAACAAACTTACAACCAATAATCCAAGAAAGGCACTCATAGGTCATATAAAAAGAGAAAGTGGGCTAAATCTGGCATGGTAGCCATAATTTGCATATTTCTATTCTGTATGAATTGCTCCTGTGGAAGAAAGACTTGACTTGGTGTAGTTAAAAAGAGAGAGAGAGAGAGAATGAGATGGACAATCTGAAGCAAAGTCTAGAGTACAGAAAATGTACGTGTGACACAGATAGAAAATATTAAATAGAGACAATAGACTTTTTTTTTTTTTAAGACAGGGTCTCACTCTGTCGCTCAGGCTGGAGTACAGTGGTGCTATCTTGGCTCACTGTAACCTCCGCCTCCCAGGTTCAAGCGTTTCTCCTGCCTCAATCTCTTGAGTAGCTGGGACTACAGGCATGCACCACCACACCTGGCTAATTTTTGTATTTTTTGGTAGAAACGGGTTTCAACATGTTGGTCACGCTGGTCTCAAACTCCTGGCCTCAAGTGATCCACCCACCTCGACCTCCCAAAGTGCTGGGATTACAGGCATAAACCACCATGTCCAGTCAGATTTTATAACATAAAAAACTTAAAAGCGCGGTGGGGAGGGGTGCCAAGATGGCCAACTAGAAGCAGTCGCAATTGGAGGCTCCCACTGAAAAGATCCAAAGTAGCATGCAAATCCTGCACAGGCAACCGAAATATCCGGATTCTGTCATTAGGACTGGCTAGGTGGCTGGCATGACCCAATCAGAGAAAAGAAGAGCAGTGTGGTGCGGCAGCCCACCTGAAAGTGACAAGGGGCAGGGGAGCCCCACTCCCAGCCAAGGGAGGTGGTGAGTGAGAGTGCTACCCTCCCTGGGAAACGGTGCTTCTTCCACAAAACTGTGCAACCCACCAATCGGAAGATCCCACTTGGGAGCCCACCCCACTGGGGCCTTGGGTCTCAATCAGGGAGCTGCGCAGATTCTCAACAGCCACTTGGCCTAAGCCTGCTGAGTTCCCAGGGAGAGGGGCAGCCATCACCACTGCTGCAGCTGTCTGCCATCTAAGCCATCTGCGATCCTTGGCGGAGGGGCAGCTGCCAACACTGTAGTTGCAGGGCCCCCCTGCAGGAACTCCAACTCCACCCAGGGGCTTAGGTACAGAATTCTGATGTCCCTGGACCTGAGCCCCTAGGGGAAGGGGTGCCCATAGTCTCCGCTGACCAGCAGACTTAGTCTTTCCTCCTGCTAGCTCTGAGGAATCCAGGCAGCCCAGATGAGTGGGTTTCCCCCAAGTGCAGCAAACCTCCTCCACCAAGGGACAGCCAAAGTGCTATGTTAAATGGGTCCTGCTTTCTGTGCCACCCAACTGGGTCAGACCCCCCAACAGGAGCTATCAGATATCCTATACAGGAGCCTTCCTACTGGCATCATGTCGGTGCCCCTCAAGGTCAGAGATTCCAGATAAAGGAGCAGGCACCCACCTTGGCTGTTCTGCAGGCTCTGAGTGAGCCTCTGAGTGACATCTCCAGGTGTGAGAGCAAACCAGATGAATAGGGGCTGAAGTGAACCCCCAGCAAACTGCGGTAGCCCTACAGAAGAGGAACCTGACTATTGAAAGAAAAACAAAAAAAACAAAAAGGAACAACAGCATCAACAAAACAAGTACCACAAAAACCTCATCCAAGGGTCAGCAGCCTCAAAGATCAAAACTAGACAAACTCATGAAGATGAGAAAGAGTCAACATAAAAACAATCTAACTCAGCGTTAGAGAAGAGAACACAGTGCCTCTTCTCTAAATGACTGCAACATCTCTCCAGCAAGGGCACAGAACTGGACAGAGGATGAGCTGGATGAATTCACAGAAGTAGGCTTCAGAAAGAGGGTAATAACAAAACTTCGCTGAAGTAAAGGAGCATGTTCTAACTCAAGGCAAAGAAATTACAAACCTTAAAAAAAAAGTTAGAGGAGTTGCTAGCTAGAATAACCAGTTTAGAGATGTACATAAATGACCTGATGGAGCTGAAAAACACAACAAGAGAACTTTGTGAAGCATATACAAGTATCAATAGCCCAATCGATCAAGTAGAAGAAAGAATATCAGAG